TGAAGCCTACATAGACTCATCTGGTTGCCTGAATAACCGAGTTGAGGAGCACCTAGACATGGCTACGCGACTCTGGTAAGGGACTGTCAAAGGCAAACTCCCGAAGATTCCACTACCGGCAAATTTGACGAGATGGAGCTGAGACGCATTCCCGAAAGCTTGCGGCTTTTGATACGCCCATCGACCTAGGTTATCTTCTAATGCTCGAAGGTATTATTATATTTTTCTTCCATACGTACAAGTATTCAGTGTACTGTGTAATTATATTAACATGCGCAGTCTTGAGATGACAGAAACCATTAGAATCTCTTAAACATCCTTCAATCCCATGGAAAGGCATACATGCGGACCGGAACGGGAGGTTCTTCGACCGGATACAATAATTGGGAAGGGTGGCTTATTGATGTGGAAGGCGATGCCTGAACATAAGAACGCTTTGATGCAATTTATGGGGTCAACACTTATACAGATCGCGATGTGGCACTAGTCGAGTGGTTGAGACAGTACGTGCAACAAGGCGTGAGGAGGCCCCAACGGGACCACGCTGATACATTATCCTACTCCACGACCGTACTGAAAAGTACTGAGAGAGCTAAAGATAAATCCTAGACCATGAGGGGATTCAGGAAGCTTAGGCTACGGAATATCTGATCGGTTGAGGAACTACAGGGATGGCCTCATGGAGCAGGGGCATTCCGCGGCCAACGGTCGTCAGCAACCTGGAGTTCCCCTAGTGTATGATACAATAATCTTATCAATATCGTAAATCAAGGGAGCGGTGGCAGAACGAAGCTAATATGATGTAGCATCTCTAGTTATTCAAGCACAATGAAGTACTTCTTGCGATGATACAAAGTGGAAAGCATGACCTGAATGTCAGGAAGCATCATATCAGTGAGAATCTTAAGACGTTGAATGGAAAGAAGAGCATCACCTAGATCAATGTAGTATTCCTTTTGCAGTTCTAACCCACCCGCCTGTATGGCGTTCCACCTTCAAGACTGCCTGAAGATCACGGACACTTGGAGTGAAGCTGGACCGTAGATCGGGATAGAAGGTAATAAGCCAGCACGAATACTCTAGTAGACGTCGATGCAGGTCTTAATACGCAATCTTATATGCGCGAAAATCCAATCAAGCGTGTTGGCTGTTAATCGTGACCTGATCCAGCAAATTCTCTGTGAACTAGGTCTTGTGCGGATGTGTGTAGGATAGTACTAATAGCTCACTGTGAGAAGTAGGCACTTATTGGCCGATAATTCGGATACGAATGCTTTATCTAACACTTGGAACTCAGGTTAGCGCGCTGACGCCCGGGACTCTAGTGCAACGATTCAAAATGTGGAAAGACTGACCGAGAAAGAATGGAAGCAATTGCATCTCAAACATCTTTACCATGATTATGCGGTTTCAGTAACCATTCTTCTCCTGGTTTTTGTACTCTAGCCTCGCTACTGTTCCGTTGTAAAGACTCTGGCTGGCTGGGTGCTTGATGTGGATGCTAGTGGGCCGAAAACTGACTCGGAAGCTGTTTATTACGTGGAGGTGCTTCATGCCGGCTGAGGTATATAGTTCATTTGGTTGCTTGTAGGCGACAAAAAGGTGTTCTTGACATGATCCTATTCTGCATCATTGTATCGGAGTAGGCTGGCAGGGGGACAGTGATTGCATGTGGAGGGAGTTAGGGGATGTTGGTCAGTTTCTGATTCTGGTAGCTGGAATCGCTCGTAGTAACATAAGAGATTCGGATGATGAAGTAGTACTATAATAGAACAAGAAGTCAGAAATTGGGTCCATGATAGATATGGTTCTTCGGATAGTCAACAAATTCCGGTTAAAGTGCGCGCATCTGAATGGAAGACTCCAATTTATCAACTCTAGATATATCAGGCAATTGTCCTTCGAAGGATAAACCAGGAGTTAATGAAGATAGCGAGAGTTCAGACAAAGAGGATGTGTGTAGGAGAAGATGTCTGAGAGAACAAGGAACTCGAAGACAGTGTCCATGGAAGACTGGCCAACTAAAATCCGAGACATAGTGCCATGTCACGACCGCCACCAATACTATGGAGAGCCTATTGGGCTACAGATGTATTGCGTAGAAAGGAATACTTTTTCTGGTGCAGACTTCGTCCCTCAATGATGATCCTGTAAAGGAGCCCCCGGTATGTGGCCTAATTGATGTACACCGGTACTAGATCATTTTCCTACAGCGAGTCCATACCGGCGAAGGATATTTGAAAGTGAATGCCACAAAAGGCAGGGTGTCAGGTGATTTGTCTACAGTATGAGGGCCGCGTCTTCTTGTTTTTGAATTTTTCGTCTCAGCTACCATCTCCATCATCGCCATCTCCACCACGACCATGCCTGGTAAGTACCACCTCAGAAGATCCCACATCATTCCATAATTTATCAAAACATACTTACTGTTTCCCTCTAACCAGCGAAGTGAGTAACCTCCCAAATTCTCATAACTCCCAGTCTTCTCGCTTACACCCGTCAACAACGATATTCAGTCGGATATACAGCACCTCTCACTATCAACACAATATAACATTCATCACCTCAGTATAATATACTTGACCCTGATACCAACTGAGGTTCATTAAAGGAGCAGCAACAACCGACCGGGCCGTGGTCCGCCGCAATAGTTAGTACGTGATACTATGTCTTTCATGATGATAGTGGCTAATGATAACTCACGTGGAGCCTGGAGGAGGCCTCTAGCTTCTCTCTTCTCTAGCTTCTCCCTTCTCTCCCTCCAGTATCTCTCCTTCTCCTCGAGCTCAAGAGAGTGACGTATCAGATCATCTTCCGCGCAAAAGAAACTGCTCCATCAGCTTACGCCGCCTCTTCTCCTTGGCGGCGAAGGGAGACGCTGGAGAAGACACTGGAGGCCACTGAGGCGCACCTCCGCCACATCCGGGAGGAGATTGAGGAGTTTTGGGGGGATTAAGGTGAAGAGGCGGCGGGGTGCTGCGGAACGACCCATCAACTCCTTTACATGGCAGGCTCACCGTACTTTTACTTTCCGCTCATTTCCTCCATCACCCTGAAACCTACCCAGCGGGATACCGGCTTGCACAAAAGCAACCACCAAGTCAGTCAAGAAACAATCTTTCTTACGAAAAAGACAGCCTCATAAGAAGTCATTCGATGAGAGACTTCACACATTGTCCTTTGATGATTCTGAAGACATAGGCTAATATCTGAGTCAATAGCATACCAACCGCCGCGCCCCTCGAGGGGGCTATTGGAGAACATGGAGAGAGTCACGGGCAAGTCAATGATACTATAAGCAGACATACATTCCTAACCATATGCCAAAGACCCCCGCCACCCACCATGAGCCTGCCTCTGCACCTCCTGCTCCTGCTCCTGCGCCTCCTGCTCGTCCCGCTCACCACCGCACTCCCGCGGGAGCTCACGCCCGCGCAACGCCTTCGGAAGAAAGAGCTATGCGAGGAACTGGCCATGCGGCAAGAGGCTGAAAAGTTGAAGAGAAAAATCCTCCACGAAAAGGAGGATTTGTGGGCCGCCAGAGAGGAGTGGCACAGGGAGCAGATTAAGGCTCTGGAAGAAGCCAAGGAGGAAGACATGGTGGCAGCTAGAAAAGACCGCGATGAAGAAAGTGCCGCTGTCCAGAAAGTTGTGAAAGAGTTGAAATCGTTGGTTTAACCAACGATCGATTCAATTCAATACAATCCAATTCAATTCATATTCTTATACCTGATCGAGCCATCTGGTTATACAGCCCTGCAAAGCATGAGTATGCTAGAAGCATGTGCTTCGGGGTCTGTGAGCTCTCCCCGCAGCTGTATCAGTTACTCTCCTGCGCCTTGATTCTATATAGAAAGTGCGCTAGACCGATCCTGTGCGTGCGTATTTGTATGATTATGAATGTGTACGCCTTGGGAAGACTTCCGTAGAGTCCTACTGTTTCTTTACTGGGAGCCTGGACCAGGCGCCTGGTAGGTGCAGCCGTACGGCCAGTCTTCCACTGTTTAGCCCACCTCTCCTGGAACTTGCTGCGAACGGGTCCTCTTGGCAGCGGATGCGAGCCGGATTATCTGTTGTAACCAACGATCGCCCCGGCCTGTTTTCTTTTCTTTTTCTTTTTCTTTTTCTTTTTTTATTACTGCTTTTCCTAATATATTTTATTTCAAAGAAAGACTAATCTGTCTGGAAGTTCTGAGACCGTTTCCTAAAACTAATGTAGATGCCCTCGACGTAGCTAGAAAAATGTTCCTTCATATTCTTATCGAGTAATGTGCCGTCATCGTCCAATGGCAGTTGCAAGTCAAATGCCATTATTATACGGGCAACAGTTGTTCTCATGTTAATGAGTGCTAGTGGCTTGCCGATGCAGGCGTAGGGGCCTTGATATAAGTCAGTACTGTGGAATGACGCGCAGTTTGGTAGCAGAGCAGAGTGTCGTTAGTCAGGTTGGCGGAATGTTTTGCATAATTAGTGATAAAAGCTTACTCACCGACTGAAAAAGGAGCATACGCAGATTTATGCTTCATCGCGTCAGGATATTTGTACCACCTCTCAGGGAGGAGTTGATGTGCATTTTCGTAGAAGAGATCGGCTACAAAGGTGAGCGTTTGCTTCAAGTTGTTTTACTGAAGGCATATGCAGTACACCTACATCTTCCGATAACCCATTGCGGGCAGGAGACCGTCATGTCTCCTGGTATGTAGGTGTCCCCGATAGTGATGCCTTCCGGTGGTGTCTTTCTGGGGATAATGCTTCCAATTGGTGGATGTAAGCGGAGCACCTCGTTGATGAACCCATTTAGATGTCTTAGACCTGCGATTTTCTCGTGCATATACTCTCCGCTAGGCTCGACAGCACATAGGCTAAGCTCTTCGCGGATTATATTCACGTGTACTGGGTGTTTGGCCAGCTCGTAAATAACGGTGATTAGGGCTGCCGCGGTAGTGTCACTGTTATTTCACATGTGAGCCTATCTTGTTATGAGAATAAGTTCGAAGCGTTGCATACCTCCCTGCTGCAATTATCAATTCAACATCTCCAAGCAACTGATAGTATTCTTTTGTTGTAGGGTCTCGTCCTCGCAAGTCCTCGAGCAGCGACGAGCTGATGTCGGGTATCTCGGGCTTTTCCTGAGACTCTGTAAGCAGTTTGCCCGAGCATAAAGTATTAGAAGCAATTAAAGACCTACCCCCATCCTCGCCTTCAGACGCCGATGACTAAATTCCTCATATCTCAACGCATCCTCGTTCATCCCTGGTAGGGAGCCTAGCAGCCGAAGGACCCATATAGGCACTGAATATTCTAACGGCTTCAGCATGTCGTTCAAAATCTGGATTGCCCAGTGATTGGCACTGGCATCTAGCATGCCAAATGTTCTACCGAAAGCCAAGTCGCCCATCACATCGTAACTGTACCATGTGAGATAATTGCTGATGTTGATAGCTTCATCATCACCGGCTGACGTTAGAAGATCGATCAGTTTTTGTCGATAGACTTGGATGCGTTTCTCGTACGCTCGGAGTGATTTATCGCTGAACCCTAGACTCCATACTCTCCGTCGTTGGTCATGAGCTTCCTTTTCCCGATGTGCATGTAGTGATTGCACTGGTGCACCGAGATCATAGAAGGGCGCTTTAGTGCACGCACATTTAAATCCATAGATGATATTGACGGCGTCCGGGTGGATTATAGATAGATCTGACGGCCCTATGCGTACAAATGGTCCGTAATACTTATGCAAATCTTCGAGAACCTGGTAAAGGGGACGGCGAAGAAGCTTTGCTGGTAGCCAGAATCCAAACAGGCGTGCACCAAGGGGGCCGGGAAATCGTCTGAGCGGATGAAGCAACGCTCTGTAGATGATGAGACTGCAGTATAGGCCCAGCAGATGTGTTGAGATAAGGCTCAGGGATGCGGTGCTTGCTCGAGTAAGAGAGATATTCTGCGCATAATGGAGGATTGCAGCAACAAGTATTCCCAAGCTACCATATGCGTAGAGATATCGGATTGGATGGAGGTGGTGCTCGCCAGAGCGGAAGTAGACGCTATGAGCCAGCACGCCTAGAGCAAAAGCTCCGGCTTTCAGCTGTAGCCCATTTTCCAAATTCATGCCACAGGAATCTGAACAAATCTTGTGAAGGAGGGGAAGAACTTTTAGTGATAGTAGGGGAAGCTAAAGAGCGAAATGTATTCTAACAAGGCTGTGCAAGAGTGGTGTTGTATCGGTGCTGGCTAAGTGTTCCTGATAAATTCAGGTAGTACAAGTATCGCCAATAATAGGTGTCGACTTGCCCATATATTTGGGGGTATTTGCCCCAACAGCTGCATGAGATAGAGAAACATAAGCAGGTCATGATTGGGGGCCTGGGTCTGGGAGTGATACCCCTATTCGCAGTTGCACTATCGCTTCTCGCAGTCGCAGACGCTGGTCCTACCGTGAATTAAACAGACCGGTACCCATCCTTGACATTGATTGAGCTAGTTACCAGGCTTGCGGCATGCAGCAGGTGGAGAATCTCCAATGAGCCGATATTTAAGGTTGTACGCTGTTCCTGGCAGGCTTACGTCTGTCAATCCTTCATGCATTGTTGTGGATCCATTTTTGCACCCCAGTCCGGTCATCATAGTTCCCTTTCCAAAATAAATAATAGAAAACATATCTAGTTGGCGCCTGCTAAAGAGTATCTTCATGGCCTATAGAGGTCTCTTCAAGCACCTGTTATCTTTTGGGCTACGACCTACTCTAACCAAAAATCGCTCATGGCTGGAATAGGTTGTGGACATCGGGCTGTAGCACCGGAGTTCGGAGAATTTAGTTACTGCAGTGTAATATTTAAAAGGTCTATCGGTAAATATCTTCGTGGTTACACAGGTGTTGGCGTTATGCGTGCCATCTCGTGCTTTGTTTAAATGCCTATATGCCTGCAGGACACTCTTCAACCTCCTTCGGAGAGAGACTGGTGGTGTGTTGATATTGAAATATCAACCTCCTGGACCAGAAAATCTGTGAACATCATCTAACCCGAGAGACGCCTGTGACCAAAGACGGTTTCATCTTCTCTGATGGATAAAGCCACATTTCATTCGGAAAAGGTGGAGGCATCACCACTTGACGATTCACCTAAACATCAGAAGGCAAGCGTTGGATCCGACGCCCAGTCGACCCACAAGCCATGGGATATAATTGTCAAGTACCCAACCTCAACTAATGCCGCTGAATCGTCCTGGTGGCGGGACATTGGCCCGCTCCTTGGCCGACTTTTGCAAGTAACCGGCTACTCTGTGCCTATGCAATTCGAGTATCTAATCTTCGCGCGGAATCACATTGATCCCGCCCTGGGACCGTACCCGCAGCGCTGGCCAAGCGTCATGACCTATACCGACCTACCGATTGAGATGAGCGTGAATTTCCAGGATCATCATGCATCGACTGTGCGTGTGGGCATCGAGCCGATCAGTGAGTTCGCGGGAACATTCAGCGATCGATTTAACCAGACTGCTACGGAGCGGTTAGTTGGCCGGCTGTCTACGTTGGGAGGGCTGGATCGCAGGCTGTACCATCATTTCGCTAGGGATTTTGGGATCACTGAAATGGAAACAATGAAGGCGAAGCAAGGGGATTTTAAGAGGGACTCGGTACAGTCAACGTATAATATAGGGTTCACCTTTGAAAGAATGGGGGCAGCTAGTGTGGACACAAAGGGGTATGTGTTTCTCAGGTTGAAGGAGAGGGCATCTGGCGTGCCTATGCAACAGTTACTACGTGAATCATTGAACCAGCTGGATGTGACAGCAGAGAGAAGAGACAGAAAAGCAGTTCAAAAGGTGATCGAGTACATGGAAGAAGGAGGGGGATTCAATGAGTACACATACCTGGCTTGGGACTTTGTCGACTCGGCCAAGTCCCGAATCAAGGTTTATGGGGTACTCGGGGATTTGAGGACGGAAAAGGTCACGGAAGTATGGACCATGGGTGGAAGGCTGAAGGATCCGGCTACGGTGCAGGGCCTGGAGTTGGTCCGACGGCTATGGGACCTGCTGAACGGCAATAGTCAGCAAGGCCAACAGCCTTCTAAAGCGCCCATACTGATGTGGAACTATGAGATCCGACCGGGCCGCGATGAGCCCATCCCGAAGCTGTACCTCCCTCTTCTTGGGCGGAACGACATGTTCGTGGCCAAGACGCTGGCGCGCTTCTTTGACTCCCTCGGTTGGGCGGACGAGGCTCGGAGCTATGTGGCTAACGTGCAGTATCTGTTGTGAGTTCTGACCTTCCTTGATCCCCATTATTCCGACTGACGTTGAGGATAGTCCGGATGAAGACCTTGAACAGTCAGCCCGGCTTCACTCGTGGGTGTCGCTAGCGTATACCAGCCAGGCGGGGGTCTATGTGAGTGTGTACTACCACTCTAGCCTGGCCTAGAATGAAGGCTTGGGATAATCACCATCATTATTGCACAAGTGTTGACTATGAACTGAACTATTGCATAAAAAAAGTCGTACGTGCGTAAGTGACCAGATGGCCGACATCTAGGCGTTCTGTGCGACCATCGCACCGGTGAGTCAAAGCAGGGTTATTTTCAAAACAAACCCCAGAGAGGGATATAGGCTACTTCCCAAGTAAGACGGTGGCCAATTTCTTTTCCACTCAGCGGGGATTGGTTACCATTCAGCGATTGTGTGGCACCAGCTGACCAGGGCCGAAATGGGGACTGGCTCACCCCATGGCACCCCCGCGGAGCTGAGAAGCGACAGATAGGTAATAAGAAAGGGAAAGGAATGGTAATTCAACCAACATGGGAGGGGCGCTCGGGCAAAATCCGCGCGCAAAAGGATTCTTGGGATGGAACGAACTGGGTCTCGTGTCCGGGCCGAAAACCGTTGATTCGTTGGGAGAGAAACCTGGCGAGCAAGTTGGTGGCTGACGGGATGCCAGTGGGAGATTAAAAGTTTAGTCTGGGACTAGATGGGAACTAAGGGTAAGGATAGCTCGGGGTTTTACCCCGCGATGGAGCCACGCACGGCCGGGGGGTGAGGGCTTCTCTCTCACCCTGGTGCGCTCGCTTACCCCGGCGGCCATTGGCGGTCTGGAATTCATTTAGAGTTGATAGGACCCTGTGCGGCCATTAAATTGCGGCGCAAAAAAACAAAAGCAAGAGATGGAACAGAAAACACCATCGAGAGTTTCTCATGGACGGAAGCCCAGATCAGGGGAGAAAAACAAGAAGAGGGAGAAAAGAGACAAGCCGTGACAAGGCGGGCTTGGCTGGTGGAGTTGAAAATGGAGAGCCTCTTGGCAGTAAATCTGGGGAAATCTTGGCGGGGGAAAATACACACAACAAAGAAGGAATGGAACCAGTGTTTTCAGATCACTCGATGACATCAGATGAGCAATTGGCATGGCGAACGATGTGTCAAGAAATAAAATAAAGTGCTCATACAATCTAAACAACCTCAACAACAAAGGAACAACAAGCAGTGCTGGTGGAGGAGGCCCAAGCAGTGCGTGATGATGGCGTCCGGCCTGACTAAGGAAATCCCCCGGTCACTCACTATTTGCCCAGAAACTTTGGTTGAGGGGCGGCGTTAAGCTTTCCAACCTCTCTCGTTGCTTTCTGTTCCTTTCTAGCTTTCCAAAGCTTCTCCAGATGACTTGACGGTACCCATCTGTTCCGGAAGATGCATCTTCCTCCTGCTCGTCATGGGAGGGATCGGCACCTGTCCGGCCATGCTCACCGTCGTCGGCTTTGTGCTCCTATTTCACGGGCTTCGTCCTTCTGCCCGATAATCGGGGCATATAAGCCTGTCCCCCGCCAGCTGGTGGCTTGTCCGTTTCTTTTTTCTCCCTCCAGCTCATCCTTCTCTCCTGCCTTCCACTTCCTCGTGTCTCCCACCCGCGCAGCGCTTGTAGACGCGCTCTCGCTGTGGTTTTCTCCCCCCCTTCTTCCATCATGTCCCACTACTACGAAGGGGACAAGCCCTCCACCGGGGCGCCCGTTCCCGTCCAGCTATCGGCTGCTGACGAGGATGAGCAGCCCACGATGAGTCCCATCAAGTATATCGCCACTCGTCTTACAACTCTGGTGCCTCCGATGAACCCAGCCCCCAATCCCTTTAAGGCGCTCATGCTCCTCAATCGGAAGCAATGGCTCTTTTTTGGGGTATGTTTCACCCCCGATGTCGAACCCCGTTTTTGCGCCATGACTAACCGCGGTTGTAGGTTGCTTTTGCCGGCTGGACATGGGATGCCTTCGATTTCTTCACCGTGTCCTTGACTGCCACCGATCTTGCTAAGACGTTCGACAAATCTGTCACTGACATCACCTGGGGAATCACCCTGGTGCTGATGCTTCGGTCCGTGGGCGCCATTACATTTGGAGTCGCTGCCGATCGCTGGGGTCGGAAGTGGCCCTTTATCGTGAATAATCTTCTATTTGTTGTGTTGGAGCTGGGCACGGGTTTCTGTCAAACCTATAAGCAATTTTTGGCTTGTCGCGCTCTCTTTGGGATTGCCATGGGTGGGTTGTACGGCAATGCCGCGGCGACCGCGCTCGAGGACTGTCCCATGGAGGCGCGCGGTATTGTGTCCGGCTTGCTGCAGCAAGGCTATGCGTTTGGATACTTGCTGGCTACGGCATTTGCTCGCGGCCTGGTTAATACTACCTCTCATGGATGGCGACCGCTGTACTGGTTCGGTGCCTGTCCGCCCGTGCTCATCATCATTTACCGGATGTTCCTGCCTGAGACCGATACCTTCCTCCAGCGCCAGGCCACTCGCGAGCATGTTCGGGGTGGAGTGACTACGACTTTCTTGTCAGAGGGTAACACGGCCTTGAAGAGACATTGGCTGCTTCTGATCTATCTGGTCTTGCTCATGGCTGGCTTCAACTTCATGGTACGTTTGGATTTATCCTTCTACTCAATCTATTCTATTATAAGGGCATCACTAACCAAATCCCAGTCCCACGGCTCCCAAGATCTCTACCCAACCATGCTTGAAAATCAATTCAACTTCTCCGCCGATGCCGTCACCGTCACCCAGGTCGTCGCCAACCTTGGCGCCCTGACTGGTGGTACCACCTGCGGCTGGGCCAGTCAGATCTTCGGTCGCCGCTTCTCCATCGTCTTCATTTGCATTATTGGCGGCGCGCTCCTCTACCCCTACACCTTTGTCACGAACCACAACGTCATGGCCGCCGCCTTCTTTGAACAATTCTGCGTGCAAGGCGCATGGGGTGTCATCCCCATCCACTTGATGGAGCTGTCGCCGGGTGCTATTCGCACCTTCGCGGTGGGTACGGCCTACCAGCTGGGCAACCTGGTCTCGTCGGCTAGTTCGACGATCGAGTCCACGATCGGGGAACGGTTCCCCTTGCCACCCACGGAGGATGGTACCAAGCGGTACCAGTATGGCAAGGTCATTTGTATCTTCATGGGGTGTGTGTATGGATATACGATTCTGGTGACATTGATCGGCCCCGAGAGACTGGGACGTAAGTTCGATGTCGCGCATGATGGGGATATGGCGGTCGTGGCGGCACAACGGGGTACGGATGGGGAGGTGGAGGTAGAGGGTGATCCGGAGAAGGGTACATCGAGGATGGTGGAGGGTTGATTTGATCTATTTGTTAGATGTGCTGCTGATGATGTTATGATGTAATGAGAAGAGTGATATATTTCAACTTATATAGCCGATCGCATTGCATGAGATTGTATGGTATGTTCTGTTGTTTAGTACATTTGCATCGCAGGCAGGACCTGCACCTTTCTTTTGGGAACCGCCGACTAGCTGCACTTTTTCGCCCCATCCTATGTCTGCTGTCTGCAACTTTGATCCTTATTCAAGCTCGAACAATATAATTTGGCACAATTCGACTTTGTTTCTGCCTCTGTATCATTCATCTCTACGTCAAACTTAGGCCGCAGCAAACAGGAGCCCACTGGACAAAGCAGTGGACGAATTATTGTTTAACTCCGTCCCGAGATGTCTCACTCCACCTAGCCCAACACCCTATCGTGTTGTAGAGTCCACTACACAGAGCAGATCAGTGGGGATGTCGCAGATACCTAAAGTAATCCGATTTATATCATTAGTCTAGACATTGGTACAATGACACCCAAAATTGACAGTAGAAGGAAGAAAGACATCAGGATCTGCTTAATAATCAATGCTCATCAATCCCCTGGGGACCGATCACCGGGTTGAAGATGGAGGATCATCATTGAACTCATCTCTTCTTCTTGAGTAGCAAGGAAAGCTTTGACTTACTGGACTAAAGACACTTTGTAGAAATTTGAATGTCCATGTTGATGAAAGAAAGTAAGCAAAATGTCCGAATAGTGGCCTTTCCCCTGGGCACACGGACCCTTTTATACAGCCAGCCGGTCAGGAGAGGTCCTGAGGCAACCAACCAGCCAACCCCGCACGGATGAAACTAAACTGCATTGCAGTGAACAGGGATGCTGACAGTTCTGTGATGCACGTTGGATTTTACTTTCTACTCGTAGGAAATCATGACTAACTCTTCGTATAGAATGTCAGTAGAATGGCTAATTGTCTGAGTTTAGATCGAGATCAAAGGAAACGGATCCACTCGGACATTGGCATCGCAATCTCGTGGAGCGGAGATCGGCGATGCTCTTTCTCAGGGTCTGATTCATGACCTTAATTTGAGTTGGCTGATGGAGCGATGAGCTTATGGTTTATGGTTCTTACCAACATGGTTGATGGCTGTCATTCTTCAGTGGAGAGATGGAGGATACCATGGATGAATCTCATTCTATGTGGTCTCCCCTGCTGTCTCTGACATCAATCAACTAGCTTCTCCTGGTGGATGTATCCTGACGGTACTACCTCGGGGTTTCGAACATCGTCACCTCATCCTTCTTTTTTTTTTGTTTTTCGCCCCTACCCACGATTTCTACTTGTAATGCAGATGTATTAGATACCCTTCATCTAAAGTTATTCACAATATTCCCCCCACGAGTCAAGAAGGAATTGAGATCGTCATCCCGACACCAAGAGCCAGAGGAGAGCGAAAGAGAGACGCCGACCAGAACCGCCAAGCCCCGGACCGGGACTGGCGCTGCTCTCACTTTCCGTTCAACTTTCATTCCACTTGCTTGCCTTCGTTTGCTTCGCTCTTCGCTCTCCTCCGCCGCTTCGGGCTTCATCTTTCCCTCCCTCTCTTTTTGACCTCCTCCTCTCCCAGTCGGTCGTTTCGGGTCCCTTTTCTTCTCTTTCCTGGGATCTCTCCGTCCTCCTCATCTCCCCTCGGTCGGCCACTCCCTCGTTCGTCCCCAATCCGAACCCCCCGACTGCAAGGGTCCGATCTCAACACCCACAGGGGGCAGAGGGAAAAGCTTAGAGAAGACGAGGAGCAGCTTCAATCGCCAACGCGACTAATATATCTCTCCTGAGTTAATCCGACCGGCATCTGCAATCCCTCATTCGCTCAATTCCTCGCGATCCGATCCGTTGGCGCATTCCAGCCTTTTCCTCAGGGTCCAACAAGCAGCCGTGATCCCCTTGCCGCCTGGCTCCTCCTCCTTCCCCCCCACAGATTCCTTACGATCCTACCCTCTTCCCCCCGAAACACCACCGCCGCCGCCGCCTTCTCCTCCTCCTCTTCTGCTTACGAACCCGGTTCTTGTCCCCTCCCCCTACGCGCTGGATGAGTATCCCGATCGCCGCCTCTTCCAATGCACAGACGCTCGTCTGGCTCGCCGGCCGAGGACGACGCTGAAGAATCCCTGGCCCCCGTCTCTCGCACCCCGACAGACCCGAGTCCTGCGCCTCAAGTCCTCGACCCGCCGGAAAAATCGCGTCCGCAGGCCGCTGCCAGGACCGGCACCAGCTTCGATCTTCGTCGAGATGCCTCCAATCCGCGTTCCCGAAATTCTAGCCTTTGGCGCACTTCCTCCTCCTCCACCGAATCCCGCTCCTCCGCCGTTATGATGCCGCTGGCTTCCCAGCGATTGCCCATGGAAGCCTCCCCGGACGGTCACCTCCGCTTTCGACCGTCGCGCCTCCGCAGTCCCTGGCCCGTTTCCATCCTGACCGCGCTCACTACCCTGGTCGCCTCGATATTCCTCTTTTTCATCCTCCGGTCCTTCTCCGAGCGGCAGATTGGCGGCGATGGCTGTGGAATTCCCGTCATGAGTCCTACCTTCCTCCGCATGGTGGGTTTCGATACGGAACATACCCGGTTCGCGAGCAAGTATAATCTGTTCCTCTATCGGGAGGAGGGTGTCGACCCGTACAACCAGGAGAACTTGGGCGTAAGTACCTGGCCAATGATTGTGTCGCGTGGCTGTGGCGTTTCCTCCCCGATCTCAGGCTGACTGTGTTTTTTTTGCTGCATCCAGTTAAACGGTGCCCCTGTCCTCTTCCTCCCCGGAAATGCCGGCAGCTATCGACAAGTTCGCTCTTTGGCCGCCGAAGCTTCGAGACACTATGCCGACGTCGTCCGACATGACGAGGAGCGGCTCAAATCTGGTACCCGCAGCCTGGACTTTTTCATGATCGACTTCAACGAGGACCTGGCGGCCTTCCATGGCCAGACACTACTCGATCAAGCGGAATACGTCAACGAAGCCGTGTCATACATTCTCTCGCTCTATCATGATCCGCGACGGTCACGGAGGGACCCTGGCCTTCCCGACCCCAGCGCGGTCATTCTAATTGGGCATTCCATGGGAGGCATTGTTGCACGCACGGCGTTAACAATGACGAATTACCAGGCCAACTCGGTCAACACGATTGTCACCATGTCTGCACCGCACGCAAAGCCCCCGGTCTCGTTCGAATCGGACATCGTTCATACATACAAGCAAATCAACGATTACTGGCGCGAGGCCTACTCCCAGACCTGGGCCAACAATAACCCGCTGTGGCACCTCACACTGATCTCGATCGCGGGTGGTTCGCGCGATACGGTGGTTCCGTCGGACTACGCTAGTATCTCGTCACTGGTACCGGACACGCACGGCTTCACGGTATTCACATCGACGATCCCTGATGTCTGGATCGGTATGGATCATCTATCTATCACATGGTGTGACCAGTTCCGCAAGGCGATCATCAAGTCGCTGTTTGATGTGGTCGATGTCCGCCGGGCCAGCCAGACAAAGCCCAGGGCCGAGCGCATGCGGATTTTCAAGAAATGGTATTTGACCGGACTGGAGCCGACCGCTGAAAGAACGCTCCCACAGAAAGGTACGTATGTCTCAATGCTCGGCAATGCTCTTACTGACCATTACTAGAACCGTCTACGTTATTGACGTTGGAGGACAGCACCAACCTGATCCTGCCGCAAGGCCAGCGTCTGATTCTTCGCGAGCTCGGCCACAGCCCGAATACCAACGTCCACCTGCTTCCCGTCCCGCCGCAAGGTGTGTCAGGGAAGAAGTTCACCCTTCTCACAGATCAGAAATTGGATCACCCCGGAGAGCAGGGGACATTGGAGGTTCTCTTCTGCAGTGTCTTCCCATTGCACAACGGCAAGTTTGCCAGCGTTTTCTCGATGAACATGGACTTTTCTGGGAGCAGCGCGGGCTCGACGCGTCTGGCTTGCAAGAACGCTGCGGAAGATGGCATACACCTGCCTGCGTCGACGCGGACCTCTAAGCAGGCGTATGACCGGACCTCTCCCTTCTCATATCTCCAGTACGACCTGGAGGATTTGGTCGAGCATCAGTTTGTGGCTGTGGTCGACAAAGCGCGGTCTCCAACTCGCGGCTGGGTGGTGGCGGAATTCTCGGACAGCTCTGACTCGGTCATCCGGGCTCGTGTGGGCTTGGGCGGCTTGCTCAGTGCTGGACTGAAGATGAGACTTCCGGCGAACCGCCCAATGCTCACTGAGGTGAAGGTTCCGGCGCTGCATTCGAGTCTGTTGAACTACAAGCTCAAGATCGTCCGTCGGGGATACGGAGAACAGCCCGAGCTGTTTGCACCGCTATTGCGCCAGTCGATCCCTGATCCCCACGAGTCCAAGTTCTTTGTCAATGTGAAGCAGGTCAATGTCAATCTGCACGGAGTCGCTCCGTTCATGCCACCGCCTCTTCGCGAGCAAGCCAGCTTGGGTGGAGTGTCTTTCCAGATGTGGACGGATCCGAGCAGCGAGTCAACGGTTGATATCTCCTTGTCGGTGGACGTCCTGGGCAGTCTGGGTGAGCTCGTGATGCGGTATCGCACCGTTTTTGCTGCCTTCCCGATTCTGGTAATTGCTTTGGTTTTGCGCAAACAGTTTCAGGTGTATGACGAGACAGGTTATTTCATCACCTTCGCAGAAGGGTTGGATAGCACACTGCGGTCGTCTTTACCAATTTTGCTGCTCGCCATGTCGTTGCTGGCTTCATCTCTGGCTACATCGACCACGCTGCCTCCGAGCGATGATCCCTTTCATTGGCGCACTAACTCCACGGAGTCGCCCATTGATTTCACGAAGAACGACCTACTGCTGGGATCGCAAGATGCATTCTTTTGGTTCTTGGTTCCTATATTCGGTCTGATCAGCGTCGGTGTCTGCGTGATGATGAATTATGTGGCGCTTTCCCTACTCTCGGTTCTGTCTTTCTTCTATGGTCTCTTGAACAGCAAGTCGGGGTACATCAAGCGTGATGACAAGGGGTAAGTCGTCTTTCAGTTATTTGTGAATGTTGCTAATTCTGTCAGCAACCTTCCCACCTTCTCGACACCTACACCGAGACGGCGGTTGATCAACACGGCTGTTCTGCTGCTTCTCGTCGCGACTACTATCCCATATCAGTTTGCCTATATGGTGGCATGCATCGTGCAGCTCGCTACTTGCGTGCGAGCCCAATGGCATGCGAAAGAAACGGTGTGTATACTTGCCTTGTTGACTAGCGTTTGCTAATACTTTTTTTTTTTAGAAATCTACGACTCATTATAATTTCGCCAATTTTACGTACTCGATCTTTCTCCTGATGCTGTGGATCCTGCCGATCAACATCCTTGTCCTGCTCGTGTGGGCGCATAACCTTGTGGTGCACTGGTTTATGCCATTCTCCTCCCACCACAATGTGCTGTCCGTCATGCCGTTTATTCTGCTCGTTGAGGCCATGACCACGGGGACGATGGTGCCTCGAGTCAGCACACGGTATGTCCAATCTGCTACATAGTATCCTACCAAACTAACTGAGCAGGCTTAAAAACATCACCTCCCTCCTTCTCTTCGCCCTTGCCATCTACTCCGCCGTCTACGGTGTCTCCTACGGCTACCTTCTCCATCACCTCACTAATCTTTTCGCCGCCTGGCTCGTGGGCATCTACCTCTTCAGCAGCGGCTTCTCTCCCCGCCGACTCTGGCGCATCCTAGAAGGCGATGACGCGAGCTCCCCGCCCGAATCAGGGAGTCACGTGAAGAAAAAACCATAATCCTACATACACCATACATATCTTATTCTTCTCTTATTATTATATGTCCCGTTGCATCTTACCGGTTGCCGGACCATGATTATATGGCGTTGTTCTGTTACCTTGGGAGCGGTGTTTGCTTTTTTGTTTTCCTCTGACCTTGGGTCATGTACAGGATTGTGCTTATGTGCTCATATGAATGATTTTATACTATATTGTGTGGAAGGTGGGATCAACGATGGCGGATGGATGTATCTTATTAGCTTTGTGTGTGTTGTTGATACTGCCTGAGTGTGAGTGTGTGTTTGTATATACCGTTGGATTTGGAAATAGACTATTGGCCGGGTAATAGTGATGAGAGATGGTGTTGGTGTTCATATTCCTACTATCACTGATGTCGATGAGGTCATGCAACTCATGATATTCGTAACCCGTGCCTCTGCACTTGAATTGCCTTGCCATTGGGCCATGCAGGCGCCACGACACAAGGCATGCTAGTAGGCACTATCGCCCCACTTAGACATGAATGACAACTACGTACTATTACTACTTAAGTTGCCTTGACCGTCCGAACACAATCCCCAAGCCACATTAGACATGACGCAGGTCCGAAGTAAGGATCTACCTTGCTGACAGCCTCACGGGTGTCGACCACGAGACGAGGCTTATTGCAAATCCAACTGCTATATCGAGTCACTTACAATGCACTGAACCCCGTGATAGATGATCATTCCCGCCAAGACAAGAATCAGAAGTTCACCTTATAGATAATATAGAAAGTAACACCGGTTGTGGAATTCGTATCTTGACCCCTGTGTCCATGCAGACCATGTCAGCTTCCATGTATTCTTGATTCTCATCGGCGCCTCTATATAAGCTCATATACACCTCATTATTAATCTCTCACAGACTACAACAGTAAACAGAATTCAATTTCTCACAAGCCCCCCACCCCAAATACTCCCCAAACCACCAAAACAAAGCAAAAAAGGAAATCAAAATGCTCATCTTCCTCGGCAAACTAAACTACCCCCCCTACGCCACGAACGAGCTCTTCGCCGTCATATTCAGCAACAACATGCAACAAGGCGAGAAAGTAGCCGTGATCCTCCAATGGACTAGAGATGGGGCTGGTCAGCCAAAAGCCAATTCCTTTGCGCAGGGGACTGTCGATAAGGCGATTATCACGTCGACCGGGGAGAAGGAGATTGAGTTCTTTTATGGGGATAGGGAGACGACTTATTACTGGTATTTTAAATTGCCTTTCTTCTGGGCTAGTTGCCTTGGATTCGATGAGTGCGTTACTGATGTTTGGGGGGTGTGTTGTAGGTATAAAGGCACACAATCGGGGAGTAATCTGACATTGTCGATGTTCAATAATAAGGGGGAGGAAGTGGTTAAGAAGATTGAGCTTTTGGCGACGTATTATTGATCATTATCTATTCTTGGTGCTCTATCCATGATGCCTCATACTTGTATGATGCTAGTTGCTTAGACAGGAATCAACAATATTGAATTTCCCGAGAAATAAGTTTGTACTTTTGTTCTTAGACCACAGAACTTCTCAGCTTCCTTTCTATCTGAGAACTCACCATCATATTCAATATTATATCCAATATACATCTCACCTAGTCCAATATGGATTGTCTGAGAGGGGAAAAAAGGCAGCATGAATGAGCTGCGTCCATATAAAGTGTCGAGAACATGCCAACAACAAGCAGCTCCTGGGAAGCCACCGGTTTGTTAGGCAGAAAAATATGAAAAGAGGCTCAGTTGATGCATAGCCTATAAATCGAGCGGGTTTGAACATGGCCGCTTTCGGCCGTAGGGGTCACGGTTTGTCTTCCCCTTTAGGATTTGTCGCTTTTTGACCGGAAGTGGGTCGAGTTGCGAACGATCAAAGTCAATAATCAACGCCCGGCGTAGCTCAGCATTCCATAGACTATTCTCGGGCCGGAGGTCATGGCATAATACTCCTAGAGAGCGAGCCTCCTTTTCAGATCTTCTGAATTCGCGTTTAAAGGACTTTTCCTCACGGCTCCTGATCCGTTCTCCTCCCCAAGCCATGAGGAGCATGTGGTTGATCTCGACGGCTCCGTGTAAGAAGTAAGCCGTCTTCAAATCAATTGTCCCAAGGAAAACAGGGACTGCAGACCCCTGTGCTTGGTGAAGTATGCGGTACACGTCTGCTTCATACGAGACCTTTTGCCTCCAAAGATGAGCCGACGCTCCTTTCCCAACCACGGTATACCCATATCTAGAAGAGGTAATTTTGAATAGTGCACCTGCTGACCCATAGCATCCCATGGGCGTGCACCCATGGTCAACATCTTCATTAAGCTGCTGATTGATCTGTTGGACCAAGGATCTAGCAGCGATCGGGTGTTGGTCAACATCGGCATCTTTTCGGTGCAGCGCAACGTTCGGACACTGTTTGTCCAGACTTCCCCCACGCTGCAGACCTAACAAACAACGCTGGGTACAAAAGGCTTTACCTTCATAGGACTCGTCTCTGCTAAACAGACAGTCGTTCTGGCGTCCTGATCGCTTAGCAGCGCCGCCGGTTCGGCGTTTCTGTCTAGTGGGGCCTGCATCGATATCTTTGTCCGCGGGACGCTCACGCCGCATAGAAGACCGAGTCAGCATCTCGTAGCTTTCTGTAGGCGACGACATAACAGAGGGATGGGATGGTTGGTACTCTGAGGAGGTGGTGTGGCTCTTAATGGTCATGGTGGTCGTGATGTGAGAATGTTGCGAAGCAGTGGGACTTTGGTCCGGCTCAAATTGCGGAATTCTGAGAGGAATTTCATCGAAGCCTGTTGTCCAGATCTTCAGGCCCTCTTTTGCCGATTCTCGCCAAACCTTATCACGGACTTCCGAGCTACAACTCATCAGGCAGAGGCACAAGAGTCGCGCCACGGAAGTTAAGGGAGCTGTGAGTCTTTTGTCATCCTGTGAAGTGAGCTCACTGTTGGGCTCAAAGAGACGGTAGTACAGAGTGCTCGGATGTTTGGAGGGGACTCGCAACATGATCAATGCCAGTCCAGTGCTCACGTAGGAATACTCGAGTCCATTCATTATCATAACATGATACTCTTGAACAACAGCAGAACCCGTCAGAACAGCCGCATCATATATTTTCTTATCCTCCTGACCGGTGGGAATCTTTCTAGTGTTCACTATCTCCTTCCAAAATTCCATTGGGTGCAGTCCCAAGCGGATAGTCTCGACAGGTAGCTTGTGGGGTGGTTTGTATTCGACTGTCATTATCAGGTTGTCATTGTCACCGTCGACTTGGTAGATACAATACTGGTCTGGTCTCGGGTTCTGGCAATTTAATGGCTCCTCGTCCTTCTCCGCTGTCCAGTCTTGCTCTCTATCGGCTTCAACATCATCAAGACAGTTTGCATGACTGTCGAACCGAACTCCAGTGCCCAAATGGAATTCGTCTCTTGCAGCCGGTATATTGCAGAGCTCCGTAATAATCTTATGAACTTGGCTCTCCACGGTAAATCGCTCAAGAGCTTCCACATCTCGTTCACTGCTTATTGGCCTGCCAAAATATTCGCCCATGCTTTCCAAACCAAGACGAGATGTAAAGAGTCTTAACGCAGCACTTCCTGGCGGCTCAAGGTATTTGCGAACAGACTGGTAAATCTTCTGTTGCTCGGTGTCACAGTCTTCCCAATGCTCGAACTTTAAGGGGCAGTATTTTCCTTTCGGCTGCGGGATCTTTCCCTTCGTGCAGCGAGTGAGTTCTTCGACTTTTAGAGGTGCTGAGAATATGGTATGGCAGTGTTGAAGAAGTTCTCCAAATGTCGTACGCCTTGATCGTTTCCTTTCTGTCTTCAATTCCTTTCTCAAAATTTCCCCCTCTTTCCGTGCTTTCTTCTCGTCTTCTTGAGCCTGCTTCTTGTCTTCCTCAGCACTTTGTTCTGCTGCACGAGCTCGTTGGACTTCTGCAAGAGCCCGTTGGATTTCTGCATCAGCACTTTGTCGAGCTCGTTGGACTTCTGCAAGAGCCCGTTGGACTTCTGCATCAGCACTTTGTCGAGCTCGTTGGACTTCTGCAAGAGCCCGTTGAACTTCTGCATCAGCATTTTGTCGAGCCCGTAAAATTTCTGCATCAGTCCGTTGAGTTTCTTTCTCAGCTTTTGTATTGGCTGCACTAGCCGCGCTAAATGTTTCAGAAATCCCTTCTTGGGGGGTCTTGTACTCAGGGGAGCTGTCGCGATCCATTATGTGTGGATATCACGATGGGAATAGTAAATGTAGCTTTTGGGGTGGCACGAGCAAAGAGAATAGAGGGATTCCGAAGAGTTGGTTTGGTGATATCTGTGTTGAGAGAGAAAGCAAAGAACGCGAAATTGCTATTAATGTGGGCTATACATTTATACCACCTGGTAGGTGCGTCCATAAAGGGGGGGCTGATGAGGGGGAGAACAGATGCAGATGTAGCCTACCTGGAAGACTTCCATCGCTGAGGTCGTACCAACAAACGGAGAAATCCGTGTCGTCCCGCCTGATCAGATATTGCAGACCAGATTCATTGTTTCTGGTGTTTCGTTCTCTCTTATCATTCTCATCTTCATTCCACTATCATCGAGAAGATTGTATCGATTATAGTTCAGAAACCATTCATATTTGTCTCTTCACTACATGACGATTAGATTTTCTCTTGTTTTCCAACTATAACCAAATCATTGTTTTCTATTACTTCTCCTTTGTCCAGAATCTCTCTGTTTGCTATTCTGCATCGTAGATCCACTGTATCACGTCAAAACGGAAAAGCACATACCAACTCACCTTTCAAACAGAGGTGGTTCTGACAGCTCAAAGACAAAAGAAATTTCTAGATCCCAGAGCTTCAGCATCAGGCATAGAGCGATCTTTGGACGAGCTCATAATTGTATACTGAATATGTCGGATTCTGCCTGGCAGGACCCGCATATCAGGAGTAGAAGTCTCTGATCGATCAGTCTAGAGTGACTCAAACTTTCGGACATTCGAATGCCAATAAATCGCGTTTATCCAGCTGAAGTTACACAAAACATCAAACGCAGGGCTGGCGTTGGGGTATAAAGCTGTATGGACACATGTCCTGAGCGTTTGTGTGTGATTTTAGGGATACTTGAATGAGTAACTTTATGGTCGTTTTCACGGGTGTCTTCCGCATGTGTTTACCCGCATGTTGCTAGGATTAAGGGAAGCCTAGATTAGTCCAGACTTGTACTAGACACGCCATCTTCTTACTAATGCCTACTGCGATCTATATACATTGAATAGATACTTTGGGGAATTTTCCATAGGCCCTAGTGGAGTATCCGCAAGTAGAATCAAGCACAGCAATAATTGCAGCAAGGAATCTAATATGTATCACAAGTCTAGAGTGTATCTATAGCGAGGTATCATTTGTTCACTCTCGAACCCAGTGGCTTCTTGCACTGTACTCAGGCTATCAATGACATGTGAGTGTGGTCAATGAAAGGCAAACATTGTTATAGAGACAACAGAACGTACAAAGAGGAGTCTTGGCAACTTCCTATGACTAGTTGAAGACAATGGTACAGGTAAATGAGATTTACCAGTCTACTCAAAGAAGTCTCTAGAAACATGTGAATGCTCCTTATATGCCAAATGTCTCAAAGTTCTTTGGGAGACACGCAAGGGTTGGGTGGTATTAAATATCTGGTCCCGCCTCCTGGTAGAGTGCAATGTTGGGAAAATGGTAATCAAAGTTTTCTTAGTACGCATTTATGAGTGCAGAATGAAGGTTTGTATTCGTTGAGATTGCTGTCACTGCTCTCTGAGTCTGTATTGCAGTGAATTATAGTAGACACCGCAGCTCTCTATTTCTCGCTTGCTAAGCTGTGTTCTTCTTCCGCTTCTCTCTTTATCCTCGCTTCCTGTTCTTGTGCTTTATCGAGCTCTTGATGTCCTCGGTTTAATTTTTGCTGTTGCTCTTAGATATTTTTTTTTTAGATATACTCTCCGTCTGTGCTTGTTAAAAGTCTTTTCCATGCATCAAATTCTCTTCCTCGTGTTTCATGCATTTGCTGTCGTGCTTCATGCACTTTCTGTCGTGCTTCATTCAATTTCTCTCGTGCTTCATGCAATTCTTCTTGTGCTTCTTCTTCTCTTTCTCGGTTCTTTCCCTCTCTCTGTCCAGTTCTGCCTTGGCTTCCAAGTAGAGAGCCTTGTAATCCAGTGAGCCCTCGCATTCCATATTTTGTGAGGAAGGGTGAATATGAGAATGATCGGAAGTCTCGGTCTGGTAGGGCTGGGGCGAGGAGGAAGGTCAATGTAGATGAGACTACTGAGTAAATTGAAGGGGACGGTGGTGGTATTTGTAGATGCAGTCATTGAGATTATTTTGCGAGGGAATGATTGCCACTCGAATAGCGGAAACCCCCGCATGGAGTTCGAGGTTTCATTTATGGTAGGTTTTGGACGTAGGGGGTACAATGTACAGGAGATTTGGCAGAGTGGGAGGACTTTCACAGGACCTGATTACGCTACTGTTTTAGGGATTAGTAGAATCTATAGCCTTTTCTGCCACAAAATTGGCTGGCAGTAAGTGATAAGAATAAATATCGAGTGACATGGCTGTGTTTAGTGGCAAATCTTACCTAACTGGGAACTTACCTTATGTAGTTATTGTTTCACTGTGAGTGAAGAAGACCAATCCGTGATTAAGACATTTGCAATCAATCACGAGTAATAATGCATATCACTAGTTTGGCCTTACATTTAACGGTACTTTACTTCAATCGTTCAATATTGAACAACAGAAAACAAACCATTGTCATGAAGACATTGGCCATAATTATATCCACTACTGATCATGGGGTACATCTTATGTCACAAAAGAATTTTCTCTCGTGTGTTTCTTACTGTTGTTCTCTGTTAGGCTAACAATTGTGAAAAAAAGTTTTAGATGAGGGACCAACATCAGTCAATAGTATATTATCTTTAACCTCCAAGTTACTCCAAAAAGGGAAATTTCGGGAGAAGGCTTCACTTTATCGGCATCCGCCGCTCAGGAACTCCGCGTGGGAATGGCTTCTCAGCAACTTCCCAGATATGATCGGAGACGACAAATTTACCACCATGACAGAGGAAACTCCGAAGGTTTCAATCCAATGCCTCAATGATAGCCAATATACTCTTCTTCTAATAGGCTCCGCGGCGGCATTCTATGCATCAAGCATGTGACTCTACACCTTTCTTAATCCCTCAACCTAACGTGAGCCCAGGATTGCGCCCTCAGTCTAATCCCCGGTCGAGAATTAATACCTGCTCGTTCCATCACCCTTGCAACCTAACCACTAAGCAAATTGGGGTAATATTTCTGGGGCATACATTCTAAATGCCACACAAGGAACGCTACGAAGGAGAGTATATACGAATAAGCAGCCATGATCCACACAGACCCTCTATGGAACTCTATTCCGGCACTAACTAACTGCAGCTTTACTTAACGCCATGAGGACATGTAGTGAAAGCCTTCAGCCTTAACAACAATTGCCGGGTCGACTACTGTTTCTACTAACTCGCTCACTCAAAGTATTTCTCTGAACGGAGTTGTGAGAGATGTCTCTAAGATTGGACCGAGGCAATAGGCAAGTTGTGTTTGTACAGTAGCACAGCATATCCAGAGCTTTCTGCCATACCTACACATTCTGAGTAGTGGCACTGAAGAGACAAGTGCAAGATGGCAGGCAGTGTGAGAATGGTGACAGTAATGTCTATCCGCGGACAGTTTAGAGGGGGGCATTCCCAGATTCCAATTTCGTGTAAAAGAGTCACCGGAATGTAGGCACTATAAGTTTCTGGAGGAACAGGTAGTCCTTTCCTTTGCGAGTTCAGCTCCTTGCAGTCGCGCCACCCATCCTTTTCTTCATAAATACGCCAGTCTCTCCGACCTGGCTGCTGATTCTAGCTCCCCATCCCGAATTTTATGCGCATCTCTTCTATACTGGTGATATCAAAATGAGACTTCTTGCGGCCCTATCCTTGCCCGCCTTCATGGCAAGCTTGACTGCAGCGCAGTCTACGTCTGTTGAGCACGTAAGTCAAGTCCCATGAATATCACGCGCCGTTGCATCATTGCATCTTGGTCGCTTGTTCTCGGTATGTGGTACTTACTGGTGGTCCAGACATTGCTTTTCCCATTGGCAAACTTTCATGGTAGTGATGGCACTGCTGTCATTAATATCGGTGGCTGCATCACTCTGCCTGGGTGAGTGCCACTCTTTTCTTGTTCTACCGCCTCATCCTGTTATGAACGAAGCAATTTACTGACTACCGTCTGCTGCAACATAGAGATGCCCCTATTGGATCTGTCCGCGTCGCATCGGATGAGACCTGTACTCTGTACCCGTATGACTGCGCACCTGTCCGGTTCCAATTTATCAATCAACTCACAAAAGTTAGGAATAACTACTGTCAGGGCGACACCAGCCAGGCAATTTCTGCAAACGTTGCTCAATTTCCAGACTCTCAGACATGGATTGGTATCACCTGTAGCTTTGGCAGTCCTGATAGTTCTGATGGATTTGGTCCCTGATTAAATACTGCCTGGTTATCTTTAGTTATATGGCCTATCAAGTCACCTCATCAGAGCTTGTTTTGGCTTATATCTTGAAACTCATTAGTCCCTCGTATTTCGGGAATTCTTGAGATGCTTCTGAAAGTAAACAATAAGGTTTCACTCTTTCTCTAATCTACTTAGAATAGTATTTTGTATTTTCTCTCTTGTACACCTCAATACTAATACCTCGCGCAGCTATGCGGACGGCGTCATAATTGAGCAAAGGCAGAGATTTTCAATACCTCATAAGACTTGTCAAACGGCGGCTTTGTCGTCATCTCCCAACTCAGAGAGTGGTGCACGGGAATGGTCTCTGGATTCACGGCAATTCCCTAGGATTAGTCGGAGACGATGACAAGGGAATTGGACTTTGCCGACCGATTGACAAAGGGCAGTTTATTCATCATAAAAAGTATAAATACCCCCGATATTTCGAATCTCGATGTTATCTCCCGTATAGATACATAGATTCACCTAGCAGGCACTTCAATTTGCCCATGGTCTGCTACGTGGCCCGTGATTCTTCATGTGAGTCGTCAATATTGAATTAACATTAGTGTGGTCTTAGAACACGTATTTAAATGCCCCAGACCTCCCTCTCAGTCGCCTCCATGGCCGAATCCATAATTCTTTCCTTTCAAGGCCGCCGACATATTTGAGACTTAATTCGAGCTTCCTCTCGTCAAAAGCACCATTGTCGAGTGACTTGCTCGAATAATCCCAACTGATAGCATCACCTGTTCTCCCAAAGAACATCTACCATTAGTGGTAAAGATTGCGAAAAACGCAGGGTATTGTCCGGAAGACTCCACCATCAAGTCCGGTGGTGGTGTCTCCAGACGAATAGCCAACATTTCATGAACTTGGCTTCATCGTTGCACTTTAAGGTTATTATTCAGACCCTATTACGGAGACAAGAAACGTCACTGTGGCTCGGTCTGAGATCGAAGGATACTAGCCGAAAGCGAGCACAAACTCAGCCTGGACGCGGACATGCCAAGGGTCAGAATCATTGACTAACAAAAGGACAGTATCACGACCCATGTTAATGCCTGAGATCCGTGCAGTGATGCTAGGTGATTAGAAGCTTCACATTCTGCACACAGATATTCCAGTATCATCTAGAAGGCAGACGCAACTGTGCCGAGAAATCTCTCCACAAAGAAGGGGGTGATCTTGCGACATTGCACCAGATCTATGACCAGATCAGCTTGATTTAAGTCTCGATAACTAAAAGTCACCTCATTTTCTTGAATTACTTGTGGTTTCCACTTAGTGCCTGCTCTTCCTCGATTTCTTCAAGCAGTTATCCCGGTGTGAGGTCTTGACAGAGGTGTGACTCCAAAATACGTCGTTGATCCGGCATATCAACATGAAAAGAATGGTATGAACGTGCTTCACATCCGGTATCGAATGGCTCCTGTGCTAGCCCCTCTACTACATACTACTGCATTCAGCGTACAGGCTTCCCATTCGGTTCAACAAAGCCTCCTAGGAGATGCGCTCCTTCAATCATGCCGTGTTTGACCCTGGGGGATTCATGACTACGGTGCTTCCGTCATATCTGGCCATGGAAAATGTGGGCCGCCGACCCCGGATATTGGTGTTACAAGGCGCGGAAAGAGTGGAATGATACTCAACAAGTTGCAATTTAAACTGAACGCATCTGGGAACTCCAAGTCCAGGAAGAAGACTTGTTACATATAAACGTTGCCTTCCCTCTGACGAAGCGTTGCTTAATCTCTGTCTTCGAAATACGGTCATGACGCACGTAGATCCCACTATAATAACGAGCACAGATGCCTCGCTCTCATCTGCTGCAGCGCATGCAAGCCAGGATTTACTTCTGTGACGTGGCCAAGGAGCTTCGGACGCCACCTTACAACGAGCTGTTGCTAACGCCTAAATCACGGCTGGTCGGCCGTCCCTTATGATGAGCTTATTCTCACATACGCTTTCACGAAGTTTGCAAATGGAAAGCAATGCAGAACTCACGCTTCTATATCAAAGTCAAGAACGTGGCACAAGGAATTCAAAACAGAAAAGTACTATATACACATATGAAGACATGTCGCAGCTGCCTAGTCAGTTACCTGCGCAATCAACCTTTCTTACCATGACTTTAGGTATTTGACCTCCTCCTATGCATAATTTCTCCTGAGTTATCCACTCGGTCGTGGCTGGGATCTTTACAAATTTCTTCAGCATCATTTATCAGATGGAACCATGGCCATTCGGGGTGTTCAGGGAGGCCTGAGCCCTTTTCTACGGCGAAGACTATCTTCGAGGGACGCCACATTCCTCTCACCAATAGCGACAAGTAGCAGGTATTGCCACTTGGGACATGAGGCATCATATAAATTAACACAAGTCCGAGCTTTTTCAAAGGCCCCATCTGTGCTATGGCGTGGGATGAATGCAGCCTGTCTCTTGAGCAGAAGCATAGCGATGACAAAGATGCGCTCCAGGCACTCCGCGCAATGAGAAAGTATCCGGCTAGAGGGCTATGAGGCTCCGATCTGGGGTATTCAAATCAGGTGCGCCCTCGAGCGGCCTTGGAAGTGTTTATCATACCAAACTGGGATGACGAAACTACGAAGTCACTATCATCGCCATGCTATAACCCAGTGTGTAACAGCATGACTTGGCAATACTATGCGACCGGAGGATGCGCAAATTGCAGATCACATTTTCTTTGTCACATATTGCTCGCCTCTTCGCTGCTATTCTACAAGCTCGCCGGTGCCCTCAGACTCAGTGGTATGGGGGAGCTGTGGGTCGATAGCTGTTTTCCTTTCGTTGGAACCAGACATCAGACAAGAGAGTGTTGGAGAAGACTCATAGAGTCTGCCGCTGCATATTGTTATTATGAGCTACCCATTAGGGCCGCCTTTGCGACTTTTGCAGCAGCTACAGGATTAATTATCGCAGGCATGGAATTCCTCGAAAATACATATCTCAGTTAAGCCCGATAGGCTAGTCGAGGTATCGTCTGTGACCACTGCAAGGCCATCAATTTGGCCCCTGTTTATAGCGGCAAAAAGCACTTGACGAACAAGGAGCTTTCCAAGTATATATCGGCTGAAGCCGAATTTTCCGCCCAGTGCAACTTTTACCCATGATTCGCCGGTATACAATCCACCATGATGTCTGTGTTAATAATATAAACCAATGTGATTTATTTGCTCCCTGCTGGCACTTAGATGCCTGTTTCTCCCCTTATATACGACAGAGGACTGGCAGCAGGATTGCTGGCCATGGGCAAGACCTGGAAATCTATTTTCCTGCTGCTCTTCGACATGGCCATTGTTCCCTACATATTGTCATTCATCATACCCTCATCGCTACAAATCTCCATTTCCGAAGCTGTCCAGAGACCGAAGTAGTTGTCAGAGAGCTCGAACGCTTGGTCTGTGAGTCAACTCTTGGAACGCCACTGCGACAAATATGGAAGACGTCGAACTTCAAACACAAGGGACAGAAACCTTGCACGCTGACTATTCTTCTATGTAGCTCACACTAGCTGCGACTATCTACCTATTCATTTTTCCTCTTTATCATCAGCTGCATAATGCCCATCTCGCTCACACACGACGCGATTCTCGATGACTTTCCCGAACGCTTCCCTTGTCTTTCTGCTCGAAGACCTTCCAGGCGATAGATCTTGGCAATGCTCTTCCCAAAACAAGTCTCAAATGATGTTGTTCAAAGCATGACCGACAGTACACAATTTCCTGGCTTTCTGTGAACCATCAAAGGACATATGCGGTGGAATTCGTCAATAACCGCGAGACGAAGCTACCCCGGGGGAAGAGAACGAGGAAGAGATTATGCCATAAACATGTACGTCTGATAGAAAAGACATTGAGTTCAGGTTATGAGCCTGATGCTTGTTTCTGAGATTCCTCCACTGCACAGGATGACTTGAAACCAGAATAATAAACATGGTATTCTCGCTTCTCGTGAATGAGGGGACCATCTGGGGACCACTAGAGTTCTCAAACAGATTAATTGCCCGGGTGTTTCCTGCTCATACCTCCTCAGAAATGCAGAATATCTTCGGAATGCAATGAGTATATCCCCTGATTGCTTAACATGCAAGACTATATTATCCGGGAAACTATTGCTTTTCTTCAAGCCCCCAGCTACTTAAACTGATGAGACAACACAATTTCCTCAATTGGGAAGGTAGTATCAATGCCATTGGCCAATGTTCTAGATGATTGCGGTACCACAGGGCTTTCAGAAAGCATTGACGCCAATGTTGCAATCCCGTTGGCGCAGACTGGGGTCTCTCTGTTCTATCTTCCTCTCCATGTGCGTCTCCAGCTACTTATACGCCATCCCGCACTGGCTGGATAAGCCAGCGCATCATGCATGGAAGCTCTAGTACACACTGAGCGCTATGTGTACTGTGCGGCCAAGATACATTCAACAAGGCAACGAATGCCCTCCTAGCAGACTTCTGAGGCTTGCTTACATTTATGTGGCTACCACATTTAGAGCCGTGAGCACATGGCGACGAATTGGTTGGGTATTGAGGAACTCAGATGCCGTCTCATGAAACGTCGCATCCCATGAAGATGATCTTCGTCTCTGGGACTGCCGTTGTCTTTAATGCCAAATTGTTCGCTTCCGTTCTTCCAGTCCACCTAGGAAAACTCCAATTATGGGCTTAGTGAACCTTCCTAGGAGGTACGGCTCGTCTGATCCTATCCGTGAGCTCTCCTGATATAAAAGGAATAAAAGGAAAAAAGGGAAAGAGTTAAAAATGGCAATCTTCGCAGAAAGGATTGGTCTGTATATAGAAGGGTACTAGTCATCGGACTGGATTGAAACCTTTGAGAACGCTCGGCAATGCTCACAGGCCACCCTGAGAGCCATTTTACCGCTCTCTTCCAAGTTTTACGTTTCGAGGAAGGACATGTCCACATCAGTCTTCTGGAACTCCATGCATTGATCTCGACCCTGAGACATCCTGTGACGGGCGAAGATGCATACGATGGGCCTCCTTCGTAGCTGACGACGGGTGTATCGTCTCTCCAACTCACTGGTACTGATCCTGTTATTATGGACCTATATTCATGTAGAAGTAAAAGCGTTCTTATTGAATACTACATCTATAATATTATTATCATCATATCTCAATACAACGGGCAGGGGCAGGTTCAATTGTATGTATATGATCGATCTAGATGTCAAGAGTGTGTTTGTGTTCGGAGGCCATGTACGCAGAGATAGCAAAGATCAGGTAGTGCCAAAGGTCAAAGTTTCGAAGACGCCCCTTCCACGTCAAACTCGGTTGTGCAAAGTAAGAAGGTATCCCTCAAAGCCTGTAATACATCAGCA